GGCTGGATTTCTGGGTGATGCAGAGAAGACCTTCGTGGTGGGACTCTGCAGCAATGAACTGCAGAGGGATTTGCTGTGGCAGGCACTGTGCATCCTCACTGGCTGCTGGGAGGAGGCTGTGGGACCCTGCTGATTGCTGGCAATAACATGCTCCATGCAGCTGGATCTCTGTCCCTGAGAAAGCAGTTTGGAGCTGCCTCCAGCTCCAAGATCTTCTGCTCAGGATGGATGGAGAGGGCACCTGGGTGATGTCAGCTCCTTCCCCGCTCCCTGTCTATTCATATCTATTCAGGCAGTGCAGCAGGGCTGCGGGTATGTGATGCAGCACCAGCTGCAGCATCTTGTTTCTCATGCTCCTCTTCCTTGTGCACTGCAGACACTCTGAGCAGCTCATGCTGGAGAACCTTTGGCCTCTGTGCTTCCTCCTCCCTGGTTGGGACAGGGGCATCTCAAGGGCTGCACTCAAGTGCCCCAAATCTCCTCTTTTTAAGCAATGGCTGAAGTGTGAGAGCCCTGGCCAGGGTATGGGTGTGCTGATGGGTAGCAGCTTCCTGTTGTTATTTCTTGTTCATCCTTCAAGAAACTGAAGGTAATTTGGGTCCCAAACCCCAGGTATTTTGGATCCCGAAGTAGGGGGCTTGTTCTCAGCTTCAAGGTCTGCAGCCCCAGAGGAGGTGCAGAAGCTTGTGTGGGCTTTTGGCAAGCCCTAAACATCCTCCTCCCACCTGAAGAGTTTGGGGTGGAGCTGCTGTATCTTTAGGACAGCCAAGCTTTGTGTCTTTTTTCAAGCTGCGATGGGATGTGACCTGTGAAGACAGCTTGGACAGGGTTATCCTAAAGCTTCAAGGCACCTCCAAGAGACTGGAGGGGTGCAAAGGGAAGGGGGTTGCTGGAGAAACCCCTCTGGCCTGTTCCCCGCGCAGACTTAAGAGCACGTATCTGTTGGTGCAGCCTCTGTTACACAAGTCTGGTTTTGGTGCTGCTCTTGTGCTGATATCTAAAACATCTGCAGGGCTCTATGGGAGGGAGGTGTGTGTGGAGGAGATAGCGGTGGTGGAGGAAGTACTCGTGCAGTAACACTGCCACGGGAAGAGTCTCACCACTGGTATCTGTGGGGAAAGGGGGGGGGGTGTGACTGGTGCCACCAGCCCCGGCAACAACACAGCAAGTAAGAAAAGCTGGTGGCTTGTTCTTGGAGGAAATTCGTCCTGCGAGTCTCGTGCCTGCGCTCTCTATTTATAGCTGTGCTGTACACAGGGCACTTGCTAAAGCTGGGGGGTGGGGAGAAGGCATCACATGAGATTGAGGATTTCCTCTTCCTTCTCCACCCAGATCTTGGGATAGTCTGTGCCATCCAGCTGAGAGAGTCGGCTCCCTCTGAGACTTCACAGCCGTAGGAGACTTTATGGATTCATAGGATAGCTTAGGTTGGAAGGGACCTTAAAGCTCATCCAGCTCCAACCACACTGCCACAGGCAGGGGCATCTTTCGCCCCACGCCCCTGTGTCCACCCTGGCCTTGAACACTGCCAGGGATGGGGCAGCCACAGCTTCTCTGGGCACCCTGTGCCAGCGCCTCAGCACCCTCACAGGGAACAACTTCTTCCTCAGATCTCATCTCAATCTCCCCTCTGTCAGGTTAAAGCCATTCCCCTTGTCCTGTCCCTACAGGCGCTTGTCAAAAGCCCCTCTCCAGCTTTCTTGTAGCCCCTTTAGGCACTGGAAACTGCTCTAAGGTCTCCCCGGAGCCTTCTCTTCCCCAGGCTCAGCTCTCTCACGGCCCATAGGGAGGCTTCATGCCAGCAGGGGATTTGGCAGGAGGCCTGTTTGCCGAAACAACCGAGTGGCTCCCAGCTATTCAGGCTGTGCTGGGCTGTGTCTCGGCGCTGCTGCTGAGTGCGCTGGCCGCTGGCCATGGGGCGGGTGCGTGCAACAGAGCCTGGAAGGCGAGCGCTGTCGGAGGGGGAACTGCCTGGTATCATCTTCAGTGCGGTCTCGGGTTGCCGGGCTCAGACGCTGCGGCTGTGTGGTCCGGTAACCCGAGCATGCGAGGTGTCCCCTGCGCGCCCGTCAGGAGCTGGGCTCACGTCGGAGGCTCCGCAGGGCGGGTTCCAGCGTGCCAGAACGCTGACAGGCACCCTATTGAACACAGAAGTGTATCGGGTGGCTTCTGGCCTCAAAAGCGCTTCTCTTCTGTGCTACAGAAAGTATACAGTTGACTGCACGAAGTGCAGAGGGCTTGAGGGTTGATTTCTTCTGGGGTTGTGGCGGGGGGGTGGGTTTGGTTTTAGTATATTTT